GAGAAGAAGGGCTGCGCCGAGATTCCCCCCCACACCCCAAGGAGGGCTGAGTCGCCCCGGAGGCTTAAAGGTTATGCCAACCTCCAGGATTCCTGCCTGCCCCTTGCCTTGGGGCCCCGGGTCCTTGTGGGGATGGGAGAAGCACTTTGAGATGGCCGCGCTCCGGCAGCTACGCGGAGGAAACAGATCACCCGGTCCAGATTGTCCCTCACTCGGGCCAGCACAGCACAGCAAGCTCCGAGAGGGTGGGGACTGGACCTAAGGTCGCATCTGAGCCACACCCCAGGCTGCAGGCGCCAAGCTCCTCCTCTCCTGCCAGGCAGGTCCCACCCACAGGTTCCCTGTGACCTCACAGGGCAGACGACACTGACATCTGTGGGTGGCTCTGGGGCAGGACCAGGACCAGGGAGGACAGAGGTGGACCAGCTGTCCCTGCTGATTTCTCTTCCTGCGCCCTTCTCTGCATTCCCGAGGCCGAGTCCCCTGCCTGCAGCCAGCACTCTCAGCCCTCTGCCAGACCACAAAGCAGTCGTGGGCCCAAAGGACCCTCCTGACCCACCAGGGCAGGGAACAGACCCCCAGCCCCCCCGGCCCAAATCTGACTCTCTGGGCACCTTTGAACAGGTCCCTCTTTGTCCCTCTGCTTTAGTCTTCCCCTTGAAAGTGAGTTCTTACTTGGGTGCTGGTCTGTATCCGTCTTCAGAACGGAGCCCCCCCACCCCGGGGATCATTGAGGGGGCGTCGTGCTGTGGGGGCAACACATTACCTCCTGCCAAACCCCAGCCCAGGGGAGGGACTTTTTCCATTCTTTTCTCAAGGAAGTCCTAGGGACAGCCCCCACCCCCACCCCCACCATTAGGCTGGCCAGATGCAAATCCAGACTTATCCACTCACTTCCCTGCTGTGTGACCTTGGGCAAATCACAGACTCTCTGAGCCATGGCTCCCCCATCTGTAACACAGGGACACCATATCCCATATTGGACATTGCGGGGCTGTTGGGAGGATTACAAGGGAAAGCCTTTGCAAAAAGCTCCTACCCCAATGCCTGGCATAAGGATGTGAGTTCCCTTGTTGGAAAGCGGGTAAGTGACTGGTGCTGCCCCCCCCAGCCTCTCCTGGGATATGAAAGACTCCTGGGATTTTGGAGGTGGAGATGTCATGCACCTTCACCCATAAAGCACGACTCACCGGGACAGAATTATTGGCAGGTGCTTATCTGGTTCTACTTAAATAGCTCTGGGAATGAGGAGCTCACTATCTCACAAGACATCCACAGAGGCTCCCTGTCTTTCTCTACCTCCAGCTCTGGGAATCTTCTAGAAAGGGCCATAATCTTCTAGCTTAACCCCAAATCTAGCCTGTCCCTCTACCTCCAGCTCTGGAAATCTTCTAGAAGGGGCCATAATCTTCTACCTTAACCCCAAATCTAGCCTGTCCCTGCCTGGGACTGCTTGGGACTCGCTTTAAAATGAGCCCAAAAGGGAGCTCCTCAAGTTTACCAAACAGATGGGATTAATGCTCAGGGATGGTGGAGATGAGGGGAGCCAGGGAGGAATAAGGGAGAACAGAGGAGGCCAAAGTCAGAACTGGGCCCTCCAAGCTCCTAGGTCCTGCCCTGGTCCACAGGGTGTGTATCTGCCAGCTTGCCCACCTACTTCCAAGGAGGGCAGGGAACCAGGGCCCCGGGTTCGGGCCCCAGCTCTACTCCCTCTACCCCCAAACCACTACTGTGACTTTGGGTGGGGGTCTACATCTCTCTTTGGGCCTCAGTTTCCACTTTTGTAAAATGAGCACATCCGACTAGTGAGTTAAACTCCAAGCCTTCTGTCCCTATTGGGCTACTGTCCCCGCCCCCTTACACCCCCGCCCCCCCCCCAGCATGCAGGGAGCCACCAGGCCCCTGAGGGTCTGGGGGTTCAGGGCCAGAGACCCCATCTCTTCCCCTGTCTCTCACCTTCACGTCCACTATCTCTTCCCCATCTCATGCCTTTGAGGGTTCTCTCGTCCCCATTTGACAGGTGAGGAGATGGAAGCATAAGGAGGTAGAGTTACTTGCTGAAAGTCACAGAGAACCATTCAAAATTCCGGACTCCTCCTCTGTGCCCAGGAGAGCAGCAGGGATCAAGGGCGTCTTTTCCAGGAGACTCACCAGGATCTCAAGTGGCCAACTGTTCTCCACACAGATCTAGACACTGTACAGGGCATGGGGTGGGGGGGGACCTGCCCAAGGTCACCCAGTGAGGAAACGACAGATCATCCTGAACTTAGGCTCCCTGCCTCCCAGGTGCCACCTATGCCCGGGGGGACAGCAATGTGGTCTGACCTCCCAGCCCTGGCCCTGGGATCTTTCCAAGATTGGAGCCCTCTCCTGCCTCAAGGCCCTGCTTGGCTGCTCCTGGAAGCCCCCACCACCTGGGACTGAGGCGGCAAGAGTGAGCAGGAAGATGGGAATGAAAGTTGAGGGTTGGCCGCTTGCCCCCCACCGGCCCTCCGTCCCTCCCTCTCCTCGTGCAGGGGGAGCGGCAGTGATGTAATGCATGTAAGCCGCTCGGCTTTGGTCCCGGTGCCAATCTCAGAAGAGAGACGACAGATTGCGTGAGCCAAATTTGGCATCCTAGGGGGGAGAGGCATGAAAAGTGGAGATGTGGAGGAGAGGAGCGAGGAGCCTGGGGAGGTGCGGGAGAAGCCCCCTGCCCGGCAGACCCCGGACTCACCACCTCTCCTTCCACCCTGGCCCCCTGTCCACCCCAACCCACCTGACCTCGGGGTCCCCTCTTCACTCTGAAAGACCAGCCTGGCTCCTCCCTGGACCCTCTAGCCCTAGGACTGCCAGTCCTGCCCGCCCCCCAACACACCGCTCCAGCTCCGTTTCCCACCGCCACTAGTCTCCTGGTTACCGTGTTGCTGGCTGTCATGTCGCTTACATGTCCTCGTGACTCAGTGGTCCCCGCAGAGGGGCCCCCTCCTCCTCACACCCCCCTCAGCACTCACCCCCGCCTCCCCCAGATCCACATTAAGAACCAACCCGCCCTGTAAGCCTACACTGTTCCTCCTTCCCTTCCCTCTTACCCTAAGCTAAGAAATCTTTCCACAGCATTTCCCGGAGCTACTTCATTTTGGGTTCTGCAAATGTCTAAGAACCTACTATGCTCCAGGCTTTTGCAAGCTGCTTTCAGAGACCTGTAAAGGTCTGTAAATCACCTGGCAAACCAGTGAAGTCAGTACCAACATCCCCATTCTCCAGTTGAAGACACTGAGGCCCAGAGGGGTCAAACCAGCTGCCCAAGGTCATCCAGCAGATACTCAAGGCCAGCTCCTTCCGTTCCCAGTCACCCCAGAGGCTTTTTTTTTTTTTTCATCCGGGAGAGGAGCTTCCTTTTCAAGGGTAACCATAGGTTCCCGAGGAATAGCTCCCAAGGCCCAAATCCTCCTCTAATTTCTGGACACTCCCCTTCTTGGTCAATCCTCTATTTGAGGCTATCCTCTCTCCCCATTAGCTGTCTACCTTCCCAAAGGTAAAAATTAGTCCTTACTGCCATCTGCCCAGCACTTTCCCCAGCCCGTGAACAGCCCTCAGCTCATTTGAGCTCTTGGAGGTCAGTGGGGCAAAGAGCTGTGTCCTCATTCCATAGATATGGAAATGGAGGGTCAGGGAGGAGAGGGACTTGCTCAAGGTGCTGGTCCCCCAGCTAGGGAGATGAGTTCCAGAAGCCTGAATGTAGGGTATGTGAAGCCCACTTCCCAGTGTGGAAAACCCCAGAAAGAGCCCTCCTCCCTGTGGAGAACGGTCGAACGTTCTAGGCTCAGCCCTCCAGACTCCAACTTGGATATGGGTCAGCTCAATGGCCAACAGCCTTTGCTCCTGCCAAGTTGCAACCCAGACCTTATCCCACCACCCTCTTCTGTCTCCTGTTCCTCTCATCCCAGGCCAAGGCAGGGCCACACTGCGGCTCTCAGGCCCCCAAAAGTCCTGCCCATAGCTCCCCAAACTCTGGAAGCCTGGGAGGTCACAGGACTGTATGTGGGGAGAAGCAGAACAGGCATTTCTCTCTCTCTCTCTCTCTCTCTCTCTCTCTCACACACACACACACACACACACACACACGGGTCTGACTCCACTCTGGGTCTTGCACACGTGGCCCTGGGACCTCCATCCCTCAGCTCCCCGTTCCCTCAACCTGCTGCTCAGCACCCAACTGGTCTCGAGGCCCCGGCTTGCCAACTTCACCAGCCTGCCCTGCCTTTAGTCCCTCCGCCACACTCCCACCTGCCATCTCCCCGCATTCTCTCCCCCTCTTAGATTGTAAGCACTGGACGCCGAAGTGGGATGTTGACACCACGGGGAGGCAGGCAAGTTTCCCTGCTCAGGGGCTCATTCAGACCTCTCTTTCCTTGGGGCTCTCCTGTAGGGACAGAAGAGCAGTCTTTGCCTCTCTCCACAGCCTCCGTCTCTAGCTCTGACATGTGAACCCCCTCCTGGGTGATTCCCTGTCCACCCACCCTGGGGTCACCTGGCCCAAAGTAGGCGCTCAAAGCAGGAGAGGTGGGATGTTTTCCGACAGATCAGAGGGCCATTTGCAAACAGGTTGCAGCTGGGGAAGTGGAAAGGGGACCCCCCCACACCCTTTGCCACGAGTCACCTGCCTTGAAGCTCCTCAGAACCGGCTGACAACTGGGGGTGGGTGGAGGCAGGGAAAGGTCGCGGCCGGGGCAGGAGGTCAAGGCCTCTTCTACCCACCCGTCTCTGCCTTTCCGGCCACAACCGAGACCTTCACGCTCCCGACGGACCGACGGACGGAGAGACAGAGCTCGCCAGCTCCCAGGGAGTCTCTGGACCGCGCGGAACGCGCGCCCGGCGGCGGAGACCCGCGGGATAAGGCGCGGAGCGGGCGGGGCCGACGGCTCCCATCGCCCCCCGCCCTCGACGGGACACACAGACACGCACGCGGCCGGACAGACAGATGGACAGCGCCAGCGGTGGGCGCGGGCCCGGCTTACCGCGGGGCGGAGGGTCCGACGAAGGTCCAGGAGGCGGCGAGCGGGCTCTACATCCCACGGCGCGGTCGGGCGGGCGGCGTCCCGGGCGGGGAGAGGGGACTCCCGGGACCCCCTCCCCGCGAACTCGGCGGGCCGGCGCCGCCCACCCTCCCCGGCTGCCGATGGGTCTGTCCGTCGGTCTCCGGGTCTCCGCGCCTCGGGGCCGTCCCGCGCCGCTCCCCGCGGGCTGCCCAACTTTCAGCGCTGCCCCGCGCCGCGCCCCCGGCGCCGCCTGGGCGTCAGCATCGTCGGGCCGGGCCCCGGCTCAGAGCGCTGGGGTCCGGGGGCCCATGGCTCTCGACCGCCCGCGCTCGCGCCCCCCGCCCCCGCCGCAGCCGCCCGCCCTCCGCCGCCCCCCGCTTTTCTCGCGCTGTCACTCCGCGCTGTCCCCGCGCCCTGCGCTCCGCTCCCTGCCCCGCGGCGCTCGCCTCCGGCCCCGGCCCCGAGAACCCCGCGGCCGGCCGGACCGCGATCCGCTGCCTCCCACCCCGGCTGCCCTCCACCCCCGGGTCTCCGTCCCCCTGTCCCTCTGCCTGTCTCCTCTGTCCCCGTGCGGGTCTCTCCGTCTCTCCCTGCGGGGTCTCTTGTCTTCTGCCTGCCGCCCTCCCAGTGTCTCCCCTGCCTCCCTCCGCCTCTGCCCTGGCTCTCTCCTCTGCGCGTCTCTGTCCTCCTCCCGGTCTCCGTCTGTCCTTCTCTGTCTCTCTCTCCCTCCCACTCTCGGTGCGGCCCCCGCTGTCTCGGACCCAGGCCCGCGCCTCCGCCGCGTCCCCGGCTCGCCCGGGAGCCCGAGCTCCCGCCGCCCGCGGCGCGCCGAGAACTCCCAACTCGCGGCACGCCGCCCCGCTTTGCGAGACTTTCGCCCCTCCTCACACGTGACCCGCGCCCCAGTGCGGAGGCCGCGTGCCCCCACCCCGCCCCGGGGCCCCGGACGGCCCACGTGGCCCCTCCTGGCCCCTTCTCCGCGGCCCAGCGGGTCTTCAAACCCCCTTCGGTCGGCGGGCCGCGCGGGGCAGGGCCGGGGGCTGGGGGCTGCGGGGCCCCGCTCCTACCGCGAATCCTGCCCGGGTTTTCCTCCTCCCTCCAGGAGCGCTCCTCCCAGAACCCATTCCGAGAATCCGCTCCGGGATTTTCTAGCCCCCAGGGGCAGGTCGGCAGGGTTCCTCCGGACCGGGAAGAGGTGGGTGGGACAGGGTCTGTCCTGGGTCTGGAGGCTCCTGGCCACTTTGCTCAGCGATCCCCTTCCGCTCCTGAAGTACGGGCACTTAAGGACCCTACGCACTGCGCTCCGGAAGACAGAGGTGGTGTTGCTGTAGGGACCCTCACAGTCACCTAGACAGCAACGCCTCATTTTCCAGACTGGGGGACTGAGTGCCAAAGAGGGTCATGAGCTTGTCCAAGGTCACCCACAGGTGGCAGAGTCGGACCAAACCCCAGTGTCTTATTCTCTGCGTCCCCATTACTCCACACTGTCTTTACAGGGGAGGATCCTGGTCTGAGTGTGCCCCAGGCTGGACCCCACGCTCTGGGCCATGGGGAGGAGTCTCCAGCATCTCACAGCCCCCACCCCCACTTCAGCCAGACACTTCCCTGGGCATCCTGCCTCCCCCCCACCCCACACCCTTTGAGGAAGGAAAGTACTCCTTTGCTAGGGTGGAGGTCGAGAGAACACCTAAGTTAGACAGCCAGAAGAACTTCCCTGGGAGACTGGCCATCTGTGGCTAGTCTCATTTGAGAGGTGGAGAGACTTAGGCACCCCAAAGCGGGATTGAGAATTTTTTGAAGATGAAATCTCCTCCAGCATCTTCTCCAAGCTGATCCCTGAGCATGAGTCCAGCACACTAACCACCATGACTGTCTCTCTTCCCCATGGATCCTCCCCACCTCCAGTTGGGATCCAGTCCCAACTCCCCAGTATGATGTACAGTCAGGCCCCACCTTATCCAGCACACTATATAACCACACATACACCCTGATTCCCACAGATTCCAGAACATACCAGATGCTTCCACACCTCTCTGCCTTTGCCCGCGCTGTTCTTCCTGCCTAAAGTGCCCTTCCTCCTTCTCTGCCCAGAGAATTCCTGCGCTCTCCCAGCTCAGTCTCCCCACCACTTCCCCTGGGAGGGCTTCCTGATGCCCCCAGCAGAAGTCATTCATTACCCACTAACTCATTCATCTGGCCCTGGTACTCCAATTTTTTATTGAACCTGTTTGTAAAAGGGGGTCCCTAGCAGTGTACCCCCACCTCACAGAGGCAGATTAGGGGAGGTAGATGCACAAGAAATTCACAGTTCATAGTAGGTGTTCAATAAACATGACCATCCTTTCTCAGTCCTCCCTCCAATACTGTGTGGAGTCCCATACCGGATGACCTGTTCCATGCCCGTCTCCTTCATTACTCTGCGGTGTCCTCGCAGGCAGGCAGCCGGACTGGAGTTCCTTCCCAGGAATCTTTGGTGTGAATGCATGGATGAACTTCAGAATCTGAATCCTGGGTTAGTGGCAGGTAAATGCCTGGTCACTATCACACCTTTCCATGGAAATTAAGAGGATGTGGGTGAAGCAAATGACCTGTGGTCTCTTGACCTAGCCAGAGGCCTGGCCTGGTGGCTGCCCTGGAAAAGTGGGGTGTGGGGGGAAGGAGGGAGGGGCAGAGGAGATGGGGCAGAGGTGTCCAGATCCAGAGCCTCTGGGGTATCAGTCCTGAGGCTGTCACTGGGCACAAGTTTAAGGAAAACGTAGGGGCCTGGGGATAGTGACTTCTGGGGGATGGGACGGGGAGGCCTGGTGGCATGTGACATCATAGGGTTTTGAGGAAACCTTTGGTAATGGTCACCTTGCTAGTTGTGGGGCTGCAGCCTGGAACCCCTCTCGACCCCCACCCCTTGCTCATCTCCTGTAAGGAGGGTCTGGTGGAGGCTAGGGTGGACTGGGAGGAGGTGGGGAGCGGCAGAAAGGGCAGCTTCAGTTAGAGAGAGGTTCAGGGACCCCAGGATAAAGAATCCCCATCCCCCAAGCCTTGTGTGACTCTGGGCAGCTCACTTCTCCCTGGGCTTCAGTGTCCTCCTCTCTGTGACATCCTATCATGTCATAGGGTGATAGCCCGATTGTTGCGATGACAGAAGACTGGGGGAGAATTCACGGTTGTTCAGCCCATATTTGAGAAGGGTGGGGGTAGGAGGTGAAGATGGGGCGGGGTATGAGTCGCCGGGGCAAGGGAGAGAGACGTGGACGTTCAGGCCCTAGGCAAGTTGCTTATCCTCTCTGGACTTCAGAAGCCTCGTCTGTAATGGGAACAGTCTGGACTGGGTCCCCAGTGGGCAAGTAGACTTTGTCATCAGCTGACACAGAAGCGCCCCCTGGAAGGAGTGAGGAGAACAGGGCCCCCTGGGGTGATACCATTGGCCTAGCACCATTCTAGGCCTTCACAAGCTACTATCTCATTTAATCCTTACAAGAACTCTATGATGCAGGCACTTGTTACCCATGGGGAAACTGAGGCACGGGTCATATTATGTGGCCAGGGCCAGCTCTCTGGAAGGGTGAGACTTGCTCTGAAGTTTGATGGATAATGATGGTAAATAAAACATTTGTCTGACTGGACATTTTGCCAGAGCTTCCAGCCCATTTTCCATTCTCAGATATGATTCTCACAACGTCTTCAGGAGGGAGACTCTGGGACTTCCCCACCCTGTTCCCAGGTGAGGAAACTGAACCAAGACACAGAGAGAGGAAGGGCCTTGCCCAGGGTCACTCAGGGAGTAAGTCAGAGTCTGAGCCAGAATGGAAATTGGATCTTAGTTTCTGGGGAAAGGTCGTTTCAGGCCAGCAGAGCCCTCACGCTCATGAGCTGGCTCACCCCGGGAGCCCAGTCAGGCCTCCTTGGTCCCATAGAGGCCTTGACGGCCTGTACAGAGGGCCCTGAGGACTGCAGGGCGAGAAGGATTAGGCCAAGCAGGGAGAGGAGTAGGGGAGGCATCCCGGATGGATCCATTCAAAATGCCAAAGTCACAGAGTCTAGGGGTTTGGGATTTAGAGAGTTCCTTAAAGTCTGGCTAGCCCATTCTATAGATGGGACAAACAGAGGCAGCCCAGCTGCTGAGATGAGAAGTCAGCCTGGGACACAACTGGCCTGCCTCCGAACTCCAAAATGCCAGCAGACCTGAGGGGCGAGGATGGAAGGAGCGGGGTGGCAGGGGGGGGGGAGGGTCGAGGGGAGTCCAGAGGGCCAAGACCCATCGCAACAGGCTCTGGCCTGGGGATGGAAGATTGCAGGGGTCTCTCCCGCCCTCCACTCCCACCCTCGCCCACCCCCCCCCCAGCACTCAGTAGTCACCAGGGTGGAATATTTTAGCACCTATAGAAAAACCGCCGCAGACGGCCGCGGCAGCTGTTGCTAAGGAGACGCTCCCAAAATAGGCCCCCTCCGCCAACCTTTCCCGCTGCTGCTCCTGCTGTGGGGAGGGGAGGACGCCAGTGGGGGGGGGGGGGGGGCACACGAGCCCTGGCCCCAGGTTCATCCACCAGCCCTCGCTCCCACTGCCCCCACGCCCCTGGAGACAGGGGGCAAGCCAGTGACCTGGGCAGCTCCAGGTGGGCAGAGGGGTCAAGGGCGAACCCAGTACGCCTGTGGCCGGAGCCACAGTCCTCAGCTGGAGGAAGGTCACCCAGATGAGGGGACATCGGGCAGAAAAGAGCCCCCACACCCAAATCCCCTGCGCACTCCCACACGTGCACGATTACAGACCTCACGGTTTTACACACCCGCTTGCACACACCACAAGTACAAACCCACAGATGCCCCCGGATGTTCATGTTCACCACCAAAGACACAAATAGATGCACGGATAAATACATATGCCTCAGACACACAACACACCTGCAGGCACACAGCACGCAGCCATAAATACGCACATTTACATACACGCGCTCCAATATGAATCCCAAGTACACACAAACACCAGTGCATGCGTGCGTGCCTGGCCCAGGTACACACACACGCAGCCCGATGTGTATACGGTGTCACAGCACATGAATACACAACTTGTACAACCACATGCCCAGCATGTGGCATTCAAAGAGCATTAAGGGGTGTTACTATTGGGTTCTGGGCAGGAACCACATCCTGGGCTTTCCAGACATCCTCACTTGGTGGGGAACTTCTACGATCCAGCCACAGGGTAGAAGATTAAGAGGAGGTGTACGGGAGGGTGAGTGGAGGCTGCTGTCTCTGTGAATCCGTCTAGTAGGCAGTCTGGGGACCAAAGGATCCCTTGATGCCTGGGAGAGCTACCCTGTTTCCATTCCCTGGGAAGGAGGGAATTCCGGGAGGGGAACTCTCACCCCGATACTGCAAACCTCTGGGCATAGAGAGTGGGGAACCTCAGGTTTACCAGGCATCTGGCTGTCACTGAGCCCACAGATGGGGCCGGACTGATGAGGACAAGACAACAGAGTGACAGTAGTGATGGTCCTTAACAGGTGCACGACACTTTAGAGTTTATAAGCCACTTTTACACTCATTCTTTCACACACTTGGTAACAGCTACTCTGAGCTATGGGTGGTGCTGTCCCATCTCTCCCACCAGGCAGGAGAGAGGACTTGAAGACCACATGGCAGGCAAGTTACTGGCTAAGCTGGAACCAGAGCCCAAGGAGGTGCCAGCACCCAGCTCTCAGGGTGGCCTCAGGGCTAGGGAATGGTGGTTGCCAGGTGCCCACAAGAATGCCAGCGCAAGGACGAAGGGCACCAGTCGCTCCCCTCCGCCCTTGCCCGCCACCATCTCTCCCCAGCCGCCACCCCCACCCCACGCCGCGAGAGGGTCGCTCCGTGGCTCCGGTTCCGT